TTGCATAGTGGAGTGTACTTGGGGCGGTGGGAGGGGGTGCAGGGGATAGTATACCAAAGAAAGAATTTTACTTTTCAAAGAGAGGAGCAAACTGGGTGGATGGGTGGGGGGGTGCTGGGCAGGGAGAAAAGTGAAACAATGAATGAATGGAAATCCAAAATCTCTGTAAATGTTCATTAAATAAAATAAAATGGAAAAAACAAGGAAAAAAAAGACCAAAAAAAATAATGCATGGAAATGATTGTATGAAATACAAGGTAAATCAAGAATAGTATAAAACACAATGTATATGAACCTTGTAAGAAAGCAATATAAAATAAAAATGGAAAAAATATTGGTGACATGGAACAATTTTGGTAGGAAGCGTATGATCAATAACTAATGGTAATGAAGGAAGGAGTTCAAACTGCAGTAAGTATCGAGGGTAAAAAGAAAAAGCCCCAGGAACTGACAGGTTTTAACAAACAGATGCAGCCCTAGATGTGCTCACTGATAGATCTGGAAGACAGCTACTTGGTCAATCTACTGTGAGCGATCATACTGTTCCCATTCTAGAAAGAAGTGATCCAACAGACTGTGGAAATTACTGAACAATATCACTAATATCACATGTAAGTAGAATTTCTCTGAAGACTATTTAAAAAAATGGTTGGAATGAGTACATGGACATAGAATTGTCAGAAATTCAAACTAGATTCAGAAGAGGCCATGGCACAAGGGATACCACTGCTGCTATTAGATAGTTCTTAGTTAAAAGCAGACTATACAAAGGCACTTGACTGTGAATCACAACATATAATGGCTAACACTGAGAAGAAAGGGAATCAAAGAACACTCTATACCTATCCAATCTCTATGCTGAGCAAGTCATTTGAGAAGGTGAATTATGTGAATATGGTAGCATAAGGATTGGAGGACTCATCAATAACTTGCGTTATGCAGATGACAATCTTGCTTGCACAAAGAGATGACAACTTGAAGTACTTGCGGCAGAAGATCAAAGACTAGAGCCTTCAATGTGGATTATAACTCAAAAGACATAAATCATCACTACTAGGCCATCATTACGATAGATGGAAGATTGAAGTCGTCAACGATTTCATTTTACCTGGTTCCATAATCAACACCCATGGTAGTAGCAATCAAATCAAAACATATCTCATTGGGTTAATCAGCTGTCAAATTATTTCTCCAAAGTGCTACAGGTAAAGAATGTCAGCTTAAAGATGAAGGTGGACATAATTCAAGCCATGGTCCTTTCAACTGCTTCCTATGCATCTGAAATTTGGACAATGAGTAAGGATGATGTTTTTGAACTATGGTGTTGAAGAAGAAAAATTACCCTACAGACTGCCAAAACAACAAACCACCCTGTCTTAAAATAAGTGCAATTAGGTTGGTCCCGAATAGAAGTAAGGACAGTGAAACTTTGTCACATGTACTTTGGGCATGTTGTCAGGAAGGTCCAGTCCTTGGAAGAAGATGGTAAGCTAGGAAAAATGGAGGGTTAGGGAATGAGAGGAAGACCCTCAACAAGATGACAGACATCATGACTTTAACAATGGGCTTGAACATATCAGAGATGTTAAAGATAGCACAGGACAGGGCAAGATTCAGGCCTGTTTGTCACTGAGCCACACACAGTCACCTTGATAGCAAATAACAAGCAAAACCATGAATTAAGGTCAGAAACGGTTAAACTTACCCTGTAAGGAATTGAATTTAATAAGTTTACTGTACTTACACTCTGTACCCACCCAAATCTTAGATGCTGTGGTGAGTTCACTGCAGGGATGAGAACAGATGTATACAGAGCTAAGTACTTTCTATTACCACAGGGTCAGGTAAGTTTGGGAAAATCCAGGTTCCAGAGTATTAGCTGCATTATCTTTCTGACTGAATAAAAATCTATAAATCTAGTTTCTGTTGGTTTTGTTGTCCTGATACATAAAATGAAAAGTAACAACACAAATTACAAACCTTGAAAAAAAAGTCCATTTAATGTTAGAAACTCACCGGGTCACTTTCACTAGTGCGAGAAATAGCTCTGGGACTCTCAAAAGGAGCCTGGTTATCTAGGTGAGCAGCAATGCTTTGTGATGCCTTGGTCCCTATGTGCAAAAAACGTCCATGGTCCAGCTAGAAAAGAAATGGTTTTAGTTTTGGAATTATCAGGTTTTTAAAGCTTAGTTGTAAGCCATGCATGCAAAATGAAAAAGGGTCACTAAAGTACATAATAATTCTACACAAAAGGAAACATTGTAATAATTCTGCAAGCTTAAGTATTCATTCATACTGTTTCAGGTCATAATCTTCACAATTATTTGATATGCATCAGAAAGCTGGACAATGACTAGGGATGACAGAAGAGTTGATGCCTCTGAGCTATATGGTGCTGGAGAATAGTAATGAATATGCCGTGGACTGTTAGGAGAACAAACAGGTTTGTCCTGGAGAGGCTGAAACCAGGCAGTTCCTTGGAGACAAGGCTTCTGAAGGTTCATCTGACATACTATGGGCATGCTGCAAGGAGAGACCAGTCCTTGGAGAGGGACATCATGCTTGGCAGGGTGGAGGGCCAGTGCAAGAGAGGAAGACCCTGGATGAGATGGACTGACTCTGTGACTAGGGTAATGGGGGTAGTTGTGTCAGAGACAGTAAGGTTGGCAAAGGATAGAGCAGGCTTTAGGGCTGTTGTACACAGGATTGTTATCAGTTGTAAGCACTTAACAACAAAAAATATATTCTAGATGTAAACAATTCTGTGACAGACTGTTCATGAGTTTAAGCAGAACCATTCACAACCTAAAGCAGCAGAAGTCTGATGAACGGTGACTTTTTTTCCTTCTGTGTGCTGTCGTGTCAGAACTAACCCATAGCCGCCCCTCCAGCAAGTTTTCAGAGGCAGTAAAATGCACAGAAGAGATTGTCGATCCTCCTCCCACGGAGCTGCTCGTAGAGTCAAACTGTATGCCTTTGAGATTATAGTGTAGCTTCTTACCACTAGACCACCAGAGCTCCCTTTAATAATTTTTAATTTCAATCTTTAACTCTCCTCAGCTATTAGTGCAATGTTCTTCAACTTCTGATAGTTAAAATTTTAATATAATTGTATTTTGCAACAAATTTTACTAGCTGTAACTTAGAATAAAGACTCTTACATATGAGAGAGTATGCAAAGTATCCAACTAAGTTAAAGTAAACTGTTCTAAATGCAATTCATGGAAGAAACTGTACACTGAAACCTCTTAACCAATGAATAGAGGATAGGATTTCAGTCAACAGACTTGAAAGAAGGACGACTTCAGAAGAGAACCCAAGATTGAGCTTAAGTATTACAAGCCTTATGTAGAAATAACACGATTAGTAGCAGTTACGAGAGGAATACGAAGAGTATGAAGTCAACAGAAGCAGAATAGAAATGTGAGAAGTAGTTATATAAAGGAGTTGCTTGTTCAAACACCACAAAATAGGAAAGCTGCTTGTATTTGTATTTATTACATTTAGTCTCACCAAGTAGTACCTTACATGTAAAAAAAGTATTTTTTCTTATTCTCATCATAGTATTTGACACTCATTTTATGAGAAGACTATAAACTCCAGGTGTGAATTCAGCCCCCAACAGTCCATTCCCACCACACAGACAGTTCTAATATGATCTCTATAATTTTTGCATCTTCATCTTTTTTTTTCATAATCCATGAAATCTATCTTGGTAAATAATAGGTTTAAACTTTAACCTAAAAAAGCTTGGTTGGGTCCCTACTAATGTCCAAAGTAGTATCAAATTCCTCAGCAAGATAATTAAGGCCATTTTAACTTACTTTTTTATTCTCATCCCTTCAGAAACTCAACATTCCACCCACATGACCATTCTAAACATACTATTCTCATGTATGCTTCATTTCCCCCACCCCCATGCTAAAAAAGCTCAGTTGGCACAATCATTAATTGCCAACTGGAAAGGCAGTCTGTCTTCTAGTGATTTCAGCCAAGGAATCCCTTTAGCTCAGTTCTAATAGGGTCACTAAGGGTAATAATTGATTTGATGGCACAACAGAACAATGTTTTGGTTTTTATTTAAACATCCCTCTTTTCCTGTGTCAATTCATTTTTTAAGGTTTCCTTCAAAGGGCATGAAGATTTGCAGACAACTTCAATTAAAGGCAATTATTTTACTTTCTCTGCTAAGAGTGCCAAGAGTCTGCTAACTGCTTACTACATACTAGGCTCTACAGTAAGGGAGCTCTGGTGGCCTAGTGGTGTTGCACTGCCTACCAAAAGGCATGTGATTTAAATCCATGGTTCCATGGGAAGAAGATGGGCAATCTCCTCCCATGTGTTTACAGCCTCTAAAACTGTGGTTTTGGAGCCTCTGCTTTCAATTTTGAGTGGGTTCTGACTTGATGGCACATAACAACAGGCACTACAGTGATGTGCACAATTTTTTGAGTCAAGATCCCTGAAAACAAGAATTATCATCACTGCTGTTTTATGATGGCAGAATCCAACATTCAAGAAAGTAACTGTGCCTAAGGTAGTAAGAGTTAGTAAGTGTCCTTACTAGAATTAAAATCCAAGTTTGTTGGGTACCAAACATTGTATCTTCTTATGGTGCATATTAGTTTATTTCCCATTCTAAATCATATATACTTGGGGGGGGAAAAATATTTTACTCATCAGTTTTTCTTACTTCTCTGAGACTTTTATGTTTCAAAAGTACTTAGTACTCACAGCTTTCAAGAGAAAGTAATAGAGTAGTAAACAGTAACATCAGAGAGGCACTCACTCCTACTCCTTATAATAACCCCTATGTAAGATCAAAGGGCAGTTGTTCCCTAAATATTTATAAAGCTCAGAGGCAGAAAGAGGTAGGACAGAGTAACTGAGTGCAGTTGTACTATATTGTAAATAATGTTATAAACAAAATGTATATAACTGGTTTTCATCAAAACCCAATATGCTGTGTTAACTTTCACTAAAAAAAAATACGGTAAGTAGAGTTATTTCGCTTTTGTCTGGAATTGTCTTATTACTGTCAATAAACACTGTGGCAGAGATGGCAATGTTCATTCACCAAATAGCCAACTATTTCCCAGCATTCCTTGAAAACAAGCTGGGGTCATGAGTGGAGAGATTTAGAAATAGAAATAACTTGTATCATTTGTAGTCTGGGGTAGTTAAGAGTGTGTTTTCTCTTCCTTTGCCATAAAGAACTCAAAAAAGATACAAGTTGAAACAGTATCTAACCTAATATGGTGCAAGTTAGCCTTTCATACACCCCCTGTTCCCTTGCCTGCAGATCTCACTGGAAACAAAGCCACAGAAAAGCAAAATACTCAAATAAATGACACACTTCATGGTGCTAAACCACCATAATTTACCATTACCTCAGCACATTATTTAGAAAGAGACATCCTAGTAATGCTACTCACCGATTTAATGTTAGAGGGAAAGCACCGTGTTCCTTTAAAAAGTAGAAGTGAAAAACTAAAGCTATCAAAGGCCACAAGGTGGTGCTATTTCCATAGTAATATTTTAAAAGTAATTTTTTTTTTTTACAGCAAATGAAAAGTTGCAAAATGGATTCCTTACTTTTTTAAGTATAATACATGGTATCACTCACATAGCCTGCTGCTTTTACGGAAAACAATCGTAGAACAGCATTGGTGAGTTAATTAAGGTCACTCTGAGACAAACTATAAAAACCACAAATTTTTTTCTTCACACTATGTTATAAAACAAAATGTCTATCACAAAACCACATAAAGAGAAAAAAAATTTTTTTCTCACTGACATCTTTTCAGAGTCTGACCTCAAGAAATTTTTATTTGGTACTATGGAAGTTTCATCCTTTAATATAATTAAATAGAGGGCAGAATCTGTCCCTCTTCTGAGTCTTGCTTTTATTATTTTATATATGTATGTTTACCATAACTCCTTGAGGAAAGGCTTCTCTTTTTCTAGTAGAACTAAGCCACAATTATTTGATAAAACTGATTTTCTGGGTCAGTTCTTAGTTTTCAGAACTTGGTTCTGGGATCATTTCTGTCATTTATTAATCTAGGTTAGGTAGCCTCTCAGGTGCTATATAATCATTGCACTCTAATACCCATTCCAATTTCCACCTCAGGACTGTGGTTCTTGAAAATGTAACTGACTGAAACATGTGGTTAACGTGGAAGGCTTTGAAGTTAAGACAGTTGTGGCATCTAGACTAGGCACTGCAACTTCACAGCCTCTTACCTCTCCTCTCGCAAGTTACTCAGCTTTTCTGTTTATACGTTTATGAAATAGGGCAAATAATATCTGCCTTATGGATTGGCTGTTAGGATTAAGTACAAGTACATGGAACAAAATGAAGCCCAACAAATGTATGGATTGGCTGTGAGGATTAAGTACAAGTAGATGGGAAAAAATGAAGCCCAACAAATGCTATTAGTACTATTAGTAAAAAAAGTTATTTTAGAATCCTGAGTATCTGTCATAGAGAAGGTACCAACAAACTTATTTGCTAATGGTCTGAACAGGCAATTGCTTTGTCAGGTATTTCACTAAAGGATGATAATCATTAATGCTGCTAGAGAAATGTCAATAAAGAGAACCTAATTATATTTTCTTCTTGTTGTTGGTGCCAATGAGTCAAGTATGACTCACAGTGACCCTATAAACAACAGATCTGAACCCTGTCCTATTGTGTGTCATCCTCACAATCTCGGATGTAATCCAGACCACTGCAATAAGTCCTGTGCCAGTCCATATCGGTTGAGGGCCTTCCTTTTTCGCTCACCATCCACCATTCCAAACATGATGTCCCTCTCCTAGCAACATTCCCAAAGTATGTGAGACAGAGCATTATTACCATTGTTTGTAAGGAGCACTCTGGCTACATCTCCTGGAAGACATATTTGTTTTCTTAGGAGGTCACGTGGTAGATTCTCAAGTACACCTACTCTACTCAAGACCTATTATTTGAAAGTTTTTAGGGCAGCTGAAAGTGAAATGCAAGGGCAGAGAAAGAGAATTGTGATTGTTAAGGAAAGAACTGTAAATTAAAGCACTAGAATGCTGATGTTCTCCAAAAAGGATTTCATTCTGCATGCAGTAAACCCACTTAAAACCAAGAAATTCACATTAAAAAGACAAGGCACAAGTGTTCAGGTCAGTTAGGCTTCACTTACCTTGTGGGCCCTGGAAATAAATTTTGTCATTCTTTTGAGCATTGTCTTTGTTCTTTAAAAAAAAAACAGTGAAATATTAAGTAAGTCACACGCAAGAGAATATTCCTGTAACACAAAAAAGTGACAAAATGTCAGTATTCAGATTATGTATGTGAAGAATCCCTAGAAATTTGATGAAGAAATATAAGTAAGAGATACGGGGTCAGGGATAAAGGAAAAAGGCATTTAACAGTAAAGAAAACAGAATTATTAATAGCTAATCAAGAAAAATTTTCTATTTCATTACAAAGAAATGCAAATTAACACCATCACAATGTTTGGGAAAATGCAAAGTTAGAGAATAACAGCATATGATTATATAAAATTAAAAAACAGAAATTTCAGTAAATTATTTAGGGATACACATATCCATTATAAAGTAGAAGCAGGCAAGAGGAAAAGGTTTAAGACTAAGGCAGGGCCCTCAAAGGAGCTGGTACTTCTACCACTGAGTAATGGGCATATTATTGTTTTTATATTGTATGCTTACATTTATTATTTTGTATGTCTGAAATTGCTGTTGTTAGGTACTATCAAGTTCACTCTGACTCATAGCAACTCTGTGAACATCAGACATGAACTGTGCCCTATCCTGGGACATCCTCAACATCTGATATCCTTGAGCCCATTGTTACAGTTCCTGTGTCAGTTCTTCTTGTTAAGGATCTCTCTTTCTTGGACCCCCACTTTCTCCATTCCAAGGACTGGTCACACCTGAAAATGTGTCCAAAGTACGTAAAATCAAGTTTCATCATTCTTGCCTGTAAGGAGCACCATGGTTGCATTTTCTCCAAGACAAATTTGTTCATTCTTTTAACAGTCCATGAGATACTCTGTTGTACTATGCAGTACCACAACTCTTCTGTTATCCTTATTCATTGTCCAACTTTCTGACACATAGCAAGTGACTAAAGAGACCATGGTTTGAATCAGATACACCTTAATCTTTATACAGGCATCCTTTCTCTTTAGCACAGATTCTCCAAACTGATTTCTTAATCTGCTGCTTAATAAAAAAGAAAAAGAAAAAAAAAGGGAATTGATTGTGGATCCAAGTAAAATGAATTCACTGGCAACTTTAATCTTTTCTCCATCTATATGTTGCCTATTTCATAAGAGAAAGATGAGCAGCTTCTTTCATTATAATTTACAGCCTTAGAAACCCTATGGGAGGCTGACTTGACTAAGAATCAACTTGAAGGCTGTTGAGTTTTTGTTTGTTTTCCAAAATGAAGTTCACAACATAGGCAAAAGAATCACATAAATGCTTTATAAGTTCTCTTCATTTTAAATAAAAATGTAAATGCATTTCTCAAGAGATATTTGATGTGCTTCCACATGTATACACTACACCAGTCATGTGATAAAGTGGCATGATTTCTCTTGAACTGCTTCCTTTTTACCTGTGATATTCTAGCGCTCCTTTGTCATGTTTAAAAACCAAAGGTCCAGCAGCAGTTCTCAAAATTAGTTTGATGATTGCTAATTATCATGAAATATACCAATGTTCTATGCCCCCCCCCCAAATTATTAGAAATACTACACAGCTATGCATTTCTTAGATATTTACAGTGTGTTTGCCTGGACCTGAAAACTCAGTGCTATTTCCTTGCTAGGTAATATTTGACATGTACTGTCATAACTTGTTGGTGGAAGAATTAAGTGTGTCTTATAAGAAGGACTCCATTGGGAGAGGGCTCCAGGAAGCTTGCTTTCAAGACTTTTATAAGTCTTTTTTCCTTAACTCATTTTGTTTTCCTTTTGCTGTGATGAATCAAAACAATTGAGAGTGATATATCAATGGATTCTATTGGCTAATAGAATACTATGCAACACTGAAAACAAGTAGCACATAAAATATTATACAAAATGGGTGGGTGACCCTGGAGGACATTATGCTGAGTGAAAGATCTCAGTCACAAAAGGATAAATACTGCATAATGCCACTGGTATAAAACAGGACTGACATGGGGGTTGGGGAGGAACTAAGAAAAGATGGGATAAATAATGTACACTGCATTGAAACAGATGAGGCAGAGAACTGTTTGAAAGGGATATTTGATTAGGTATTATTTGCATGACAAGAGTCCAGAATAAGACCTGCATAGTAAAGTGGACTAGGGAAGGGGTGGGGGATTGGTGGGCACAGAGAAAAATGTGCAAAAATGAAAGACTGGAAATCCAAGTTCTCTATAATCTTTCATTAAAATCTGAATTAAAAAAATGAGGGGGTGTGTGCATACACACACACACACACACACACACACACACACACACACTAAATTTGAGGCTTTCTAGTGAACCATGGAAATTGGGGTAGTTTTGGTAATACCCAGCACAAGCATTCAACATTCAAAGCCACCTGAAACCATCTCATGGTGCCCAACACCATCCAAAGCTCATCTTTGACAAGCTCAATGTTTTCAGCTTATTTTTATCTAGTGCAATTCTGACTATTCTTCCACTTCAGTTCTCTCCCTCCCAATGCTGTCTCCTCTAATCCTGGCCAGCTCACTTATACACCAATTGTTAACTCTCCATCTTGAGTTGATTCCTAGCTCCCAACCTTAATCCAATCTCAACTTTCACTATCGGCCCTCCAAATTACTCATGGCTCAAATGTCAAACACTAACAGTATAGAGCCCACAAAATCCTGCTTCTCCTACTTCCCCATTGCTCCCCACAGAGCCACTACTATGGGAAAGCAATGGAGGGAGATGAATTGGGTTCTGAAGAGGAAAAGGAGACTTTTTTAAAATTTTTCTTTTTATTTTATTATTTTTTTGTGTGTGTACCGTCAAATCAGATCTGACTGGTACAGGAGGAGATTGTCCCTCCTTCCCCAGCAGAGCATCTGGTGGATT